AAGGATAAAATCAAATACACTTGTGAGTTGTGAAGGAGTGTGAAAACATGTTGGAGGTGAAACTGACACTGTTTTCTTCCTCTTCCTCAACAGAAATGGCACGAAGACTACAGTCTGTTTCGGAAGGTGTCTGTTTACCTGCTTACAGGGTTGGAGCTGTACCAGAATAGAAAGTAAGTATATTTTAATGGTGACTTTAGACAAGATAAGCTACAGCCTAGAAGTAGAGGCTGTTTTGGAAGAATTACTTCTTTCAGACCTTCTTTCAGCCTTGTGGTAGAGGCCAGTATAGTTTATTCCTGACTCGCTGGTTGCCCTTCCTTGAATGCAGAGCCAACCCTGGTTATGCTGAGTACACTAGCTAGGTGTCTGTCCTTAGCATCCCCTCATATTTCTCCCATTGAAGCTGTACAGTTGCCATCACTTTTTGGCCCCTTGGACCACTATACTAAAATTAAACTGTCTTGAATTAGGCACTGTAATGGGTTTAAGCACATTTTGGAGATCTAGAGCTTGCAGGCTCGACAGCTGGCTGTCTTCTTGTAGGTACAAGGAGTCCCTGACCTACCTGATCTATGCCTACCAAAGTAACACCGCTCTGCTGAAGAAGGGAGCCAACAGAGGAGTGAATGAATCGCTGATCACGTTGTATAGAAGAAAGTGTCTCTTGGTGTGTAAAGGAGGAGCTCTCGAGCCATTTGGGAGGGTTGTGAAGGGGTGAGAGCAGCCTGGGAACATCACAGAGATGTAGAATATCTCAATGAAAAAATGTTTGTGGCTATCAAGGAGACTTGGTAAAGCAGATATGAAAACCAGAATTATGAGTAAGCTATGTATGTGCTGCATATTTATATAACAATTTGTTAATATGTACATAAATATATTTATATATATTTATCAGTTTGTTTTCTGAAGCATGATTGCTTTGACTAACAGTAGTTGCTTCTCCAGAACCTAGCACCTGGTTCTGTTTGTCTTTGTGCTGCACAGCTGTCCATGGACAGGAACTGAGCTCTATGGCTTTTCTGACAGCATGCTGATTATCAGAAGACCGTGATTGCTTTTTAAAGGTTTTCTCAGATTCTCTCTCCTCTCCTAGAAGCTGAATGAGGTGGCATCATCTCTATTTGTAAGCTGTGAGGAAGCTCATGTGGCAGAGGGCATTAGCATCCTGAATGAGCTGATCATCCCCTGTATGCACCTCATTAACAACTTTGACATCTCCAGAGAAGACATGGATGCCATTGAGGTCATGAGAAACCGCTGGTGCTCCTATCTGGGACGAGAAGACATGGATGGTAGGGGATGGTGAATGGCCACCTGCATTACCTGTTAGTGTGCTGTTAGGGCTGTGTCTAGGTCTTAACTAGAAAGGAATGAAGGGACTGCTTAGAACACTTTCTTAAGATCTTGAAATCAGTACTGTAGCACATTTGGCTATTTCAGTTTCAGTCCCATTGATTATATCATCCTCCTCTTGCAGCAAGCCTGCAGATCAGGCTGGGCGAGCTGCTCCCCCGCCTGCTCGACGGCTCCACGGAGGTGGTGGTGCTGAAGGAGCCCCCAAAGATCCGTCCCAACTCCCCATACGACCTCTGCAGCCGCTTTGCAGCGGTGATGGAGTCCATCCATGATGCCTCGACCGTGACTGTGAAGTAGATGGCAGAGCTGGCACCTTGGAGTGGCACACTGTGAAGCATCCCTGCACAGCATCCTCCCGCCAGGAGGTATTCAGAGAGGGAAGAGGTGATTTCGTGTTGAGACCTGTGTGCTTTGTAAATAGGAGTGAATGAAAAGCAATATTGCACTTTTGAGATAAGATGTTAAGTGAGAATGCAAAGGACATGAACCACTGTACTAATATGGCACAGTAGGTAGCTGGCAGTTCCACCTGGCTTATTTTCCTCGGACCAGGCCAGGCCACTTTTTCTATTGTGGCAACTTCGTACGCTGCCCAGCAAGCACACATCCCTGGGAATGACATCGACAGCAGAGGAACAGTTTGGTATATCTGGTGAGCTGAGCTATTGGCTGTCATTGATCCATCAGACACATTTACATCTTCCTAAATTATTAGGTGCGTTATATATTCAGATCCTGCCAAACTTCTGTCTGAGAGGAACAGCAGCTCACTCTGTTGTGTGCAGTCACGCGTGCAACTGCATATTTCAGTTAAGTTAAACAAGCATTTCCCCTTTGTGTTCTAACTGGCAAAAGAAAAGAAGCAGGATTCTTCCTCTGAGAAAGGCAAAATCAAATAATGGCAGTGACAGGAGACAGGGCAGAGCTGGAGGCTTTATGGGTGCTGTGGTGTTAGCTGGCTGGCTCAGGGCATAACCCCCCAGAGTGTGTTACCCTCTTGGGTTGGAAAGTGAACTTCCGTTGCATCTCTGTGGATATTCAGTGCTGGATAAGTGATGATAACTGCAAGGCCTAGAATCAGCCCCTTTTTCTTTTTAATTAACTTCCTGTAAGAAATAAATTATGCCTCGTTTGGAGTTCCTTTTGTGGGCAGCCTATGATTGTGTTTGAACTCCAACAGTTGTTTAAACCAACCATTCTGAGTAAGTGGAAGAGGAAGCCTGTTTCTTAGGACTATGCAGTTTTTCTAAAAGTGCAATAAAAGCATTTGTTCTATGTTAGAATGAAAAAGTTCCCTCTGTGTGTTTTTGTCTTATTTGTTTTTTTCCCTCTGTTGTTACGCCTTAAGGGTTCCTCTTGGCTTCAGCAGAAAGAAGCAGAAGCAGAGGAAAAGAAATCCATTGGCAAAGCAATGCAGGGATGTCTGTCCTTGAATGCAGCTCCAGGTGTGAGCACTTGATAGCTCTGCAGTGCTGTGATTGATAGCTCCTCTTGGGGGCTGCAATGGCAGTGAAGTGCTCGGGAGCTCAGAGTTCTCCCCTGCTGCTGTTGGGACAGCATGGGGGATTTCTGTATGCTTTGACAGAGGAAGGGTTGAGTTCAGTGATTGTGACCACAGAGTTTTGTTTGCTCTTCAGACCTGACGGCTTCAGCTCATCCCTGAGAAGGCAGGAATTCAAATGAAATCTACAGCAGTGCCTCAACGTTGTTGTGACACAGAGAGCAGCCAGGTCATGCTATGCCCCGGGGTTAAATATGGCTCATGGTGTGCACTGAGCTCATCTGGTTTGTGGCTGATGCTTCCATTAGCCAACACATGCTGCAATGGGAGCACAGGTTGTGATGCATCTGACTGAGCCTACTCTGTGCTGGTGCCGATCTGAAGCACTCTTTAATTAACTACAGGTGGGACACCATGAGCTGCACTCTGGGTTACGGTGCTGTTTGGTTTCCTATCTCACCATTCTCTATTTCTGCTATTCAGATTGAGCAGTGTGACCAAGGGTTCATGTTCAGTGCTGCTGTAACTGAAGGCCACGTGCCCAGCCCTGCTGTGTCTGCAGATAACGGCGTGCTGGTTGGTGCTGGGGAGGGCTGTGCTTCCCCTGGAGCTGCAGGGAGCTCTGCTTCCCCTCTTTTGTCCTCTATTCCTGCAAGTGGTGCTGAGAAAATGCCTCTGTTGGTTATCAGTGCTTGCTGGTTTCTCCTGAAGTCTCCTCTTTCAGTCGTGTTGCAAGTCGCCCTCTGTTAGCTGGTGTTGTTTTTGAGGAGGGGATCTGATTTCCAAAGCAAGAAGTAGGAAATAGTGCATTCACATTGAGTTAGTAAAGAGGAGGAAAAATCCATGTTTTCCAGCAGCCAAAATCTCTGAGTATTTTCCCCGTTAATTGGGGAAATGAAACATTTAATTGCATATTGAACTGCTAACGTGATCCTACATTGTAATGGAGCCTTTACCTTCTGTCATTGTGCTGAGAAAATGCAGATTCTTTTCAGCAGCTGGGGAGGAAAGGAGAGAAATACATGTGGGTGTTTTTGGGCAAATTGAAGACAGATGTTCGTGGGACTTCTTCTTGGTGCAACATTGGTTGTAATTAGCAGAGTTGTGGTTTGAATGAAATTGTCAACCAGGTCCCAGTGCTCCATCAGTTCCTATAGAGGAATAACTAACCCCTATGGGAGTTGGTTTATCTTGAGTTCTCCTTAAGGCTGGAACAATTATCTGTAGAAACTCAAGTTATGTGTGTGTAAAAAGTGAGCCAAGCCTGTTGCAACTGATGGCTGTCACAGAGCAAGAGCTGCTGCTTTTTCAGCCTTGCTACCTCGCTCTGTGCTGCTGTGATGGAGGGGACCCTGAAATGATGGTAGCTCTGCTTTATTTCTTAGGGCTCTAGGGTTTGAATGCAACGTTCTCCAGCACTTGCTCACAGCAAGGAAAAGGCCACCATTTCAAGATAAGTTTTGCAATATTGTGTCATTCCAAGACATTCTGACTTCCAGGTGACCGGGATGTTGGCTGGGGAGACAGCTCACGAGACAGCAGGTTTGTCCTGTTCTGTTGCTGCCAAAAATAAAATATCCCAACAAATATGCAAAAAAAAAGAACAAGGGCTTCTCATGAGTGCAGGTCAGTGCCTATGATGCCATGAGAGTTTGGATCAGGTGTGGAAGGAGGACGTACTGGCACTGAGAGGAAACCTTTGCTCAGCGTCTTGCCATCATTCTCCCTCCCCCTGCCATGTCTTCATTTCCCAAGGTGATGAGTTCAAATCAAAATAGAGTTTCTGCTTTGTGGGTTTGTGTCACTGCAAAAAAACACGTTTGTGTGTGAGAAGTGCATTCATCAGGCAAGAATGCTGCCCTTCTGGCCCCTCTGTGGTGCACGCTCCATTGCTATGGCACTGCTGGGTCCCTCCGAGCTGAGCTGCGCCCCCAGCAATCCCTCCTCCGGGTGAAAAATGTTTGGGAATCGTCTCTTTTCTTTCTCTCTCTCTCCCCACGTGCTTCTATTTTTGACTCTTCGCTGGACCAAAGTGCGGATTTCAAAACGGGACTTTTGAAGAACAGTGAACTTTGGTTCCCAAAGGAGCACTGCTGTTGGGTGGAGGTTTCCTTTCTTTTGGCCGTGCTGTTGTGGCTCTTGGTGCTGACAGATTAAAGCAGCAGTGAGCTCCCTTCTGAAATAGCACTGTGGCTGTGGGTTTCCTGCTGTCGGCTGTTAGCTCAGCCTGGTGTTCGGTAGCGTTAGGAGCAGAAAGCAAATGTAAAAGCAGGCTTAATTTCTTTTCTGAGCTGAATCAAGGAAATAGGGGAGATCCTCACAGACACACACAAAATAGCATCTTTCTGTGATTTCTATGATCTTTGCCTTTGATGTCCAGGTAAACAGTTCTGCTGTAGAACCTTTTAAATGAAGGTCGCTGCTACGTTTGTGACTTGATCAACTTTGCAGTTGGCCATCAGCTCATGTTTCTGCCTCCCCCCTCTCTCCCTTCTCTTTCTCCCTAAGCTTTGCTCACTGAACAACCACTCAAGCAGTGATTTTGTTCCCTAAAACCCACACCCTTCGTCCCCGCTCTTCCCATGCTCTCATCATCAAACGCTCATCCCATGTAGGATGTTCTGCTCTCAGAGCACAGAAACGTACTGCTAATGGCTGAAATAATTTATTTAGAATACATCAAAGTGAAATGGACATTCAAGGATGAGCTTTTCAGCGCAGACAGAGGTCTTACAGCGATTACATTCCCGGCCATTGGGGATTCCCAGGGAATGCCAACACAGTGTAATCAGTGAGTATACTGCAAATGTAGCCAGAAATACAAAGTGCTCTTTACTGCTCTGTGTTTGCCTTCTTGGCTTACAACACTGGGCTCGGTTTGCAAGTGTTGCTTGGAAAAAAGGGGAAAAAAAAAAAAAAAATGAAGCAGACAGACACAGATGGAAGAAAACCAAGCTGCAATGAACAGTCTTAGGAATCAGCAAATCATCCCTTAACGTGTGAGAACCGTCTCTGAAATCCAGACAGCCAAAATCTGCAGTCTCAGATTACCAGGTCGGCGTTTTTGGGGTGTGAGTGGTGGCTCCACGGTGACATCGTGGCTGGGCTGTGTGTTGCTGGCCGCAGCGGGCGGGTAGCTGGAGGTGCAGCGGGCGTCCCAGTCCGGCTCAGGCAGGTGCTGTAGATAAGAAGCAACCCACCTGCTGCAAGGAAGGACCCAGCAAACCATCCCAGGAACATCGCCTCACCAAACTCCCACCGTGGGACGATGTCGGGAATGGCTTCATCCCAGAACTCGAGGACTGTGGTGTAGGCGACCCAGGAGATGGGCACGAGAGTGGTGATCCCCGCCGCACCGAACGCTGCTCCTCCAGCGAGCAGCAGCTGTTTCTTGGCGTTGGGTTTTCCCTCACATGTCTTCCAGCAGTCCAAGCCCACGCTGGCAAAGAGGAGCGCCAGGAGCCCCAGCCCATTGGAGAGGCACATCAGGACGCGGGACACGCGCAGCTCCAGCGGCAAGGCGAGGAAGGAGTCGTGGGCTTTGCACTCCGTGGCCCCTTCCTCCTGCATGATGCACACCTGCCACAGCCCCATGGTCCAGATCTCCAGTTCATTCAAATCCAGGTTGAGGTTCTTCCAGAGCGGCACAAAGGTGGTGACACAGGATGAGACCCATCCGAAGAGTGCCAGCAGCATTGCGCCCACCTGGACCCTTGCGTTGCAGCTCCACGCCATGCTCACAGCACTCCTGCAAGCTGTGTGCTGGCTCCGCTGCTGGGGCTGAGATAAGCTGAGGTGAGCAGAAGGCTTTTGGCATTAACACTTTTGGAGCTGTGTATTTGTGGTGTGGATTTCCATGAACGCACCGTTTCAGTTGGCGGTCACGGTCGGAGCGCTGCTGTTTGCTCAGAGGAGTTGTGTGTGGGGAAATTCAGGCTTATACCTCTAATTCCTGGGTGTGGCCTCGATCATTTTCATGTCTTGTTGGTTTTGCTGCGATAGAAGAAGGCACCGCTGGCTAGGCAGGAAAAACTGGGTGCAAGGGAGAGCAAAGCTGCTCTGAAAGCCATCGTTGGCCTCACGCTCTGCTCCTTCTCTCCCGCTGCTCCATTGAGTGCAGCACTTCAGCATGGCCCTGCTCTGTATGTGTCACCAACCACCCCATCCCTGCAAACTGGGGGATGCTCTGGGCTGGCTCCTGGGAGAGGACATCTCCAAGAAACAAAGGATTTTGTCCCCATGTGTGGGCAGCATTGCTTCAAGGCAAACACATCTGACGGGCTGCAGCGGGTGCTGCCTCTCCGTGCCGCACGCAGGAGGGTTAAGCAAGAAACACGCAAATCCCCTGAGCCTCAGGAACCCTGAGGAGAGAGTTGGCAAGAACAGCTGCAGGTTTGGCAGGGGAGAGGGGCTGTGGGCAGAGCATGTGGTGCCTGGGTTCTTCCCAGGGGGATTTAAGGCCCCAACCCTCTTCTAGCCCTTAAATAAACACCATGAGAGGTGCTGACAGCTGTCCCTGAGGCTCCCATGGAGGAGCAGTGGCCCAGAGACTGCTCTGTGTGCTGGGTCCCTGTTCCAGGAGGCAGAGATCCTGGAAAGTTTCCGTGTTGCAATGGGGCTGGACTTTATACCCTCCTCCTCATCCTCAAAAGCGCTTTGCAAACATTTGCGCTTCGAGCAGCCGCTCCCAGGGGTTATCCAGGGGAGATGGGATGGAGGCAGAGCTGGGATGTCACTTGGGGAACAGTGTTGCTGCAAGAAAATATCCTGCTGTAAAAAAGATAGGGGAAAAAGGAGAGGAGGAAAGCAGTAACCTTCTGATGACACTCACTTCCCATCTGTTCCTGCCCAGCCACATGCATGGACCCCAGGTCCAGCTTTTTAGATTCATGTTCATGGGGGGATTAGCAACTAATCTCTCGCTCATCTGCTTGCTTTGTTACCAAGAAGGATATGGGGAGGCAAGGCTGGGAAATTACTGCTGCTTTCTTGGCACAGTGGTGGTCACGAGGAGGGGGCTCAGCACTGCGTGGGACCTCTGTGTCCCCAGCACCGCTTCATTGCCACTCTCCTGGCACGCAATGATTGGAGGCCTTTTAAAAAAGGTGCGAGGACAGCAGAACCTATTTGCTCTAGGGATGGGGAGCTCGATCCCTTGGGTACACATCCTGCTGCCATCTCTCAGCGCTGGCTGAGGGCTGCTCTGCTGCATCCTCCCATCGGAGCCCTGCAGCTGGGCACCGTCTCTGCTTTCTGCCCTTCGTGGGAAACTTGGATGTCTGGGAACTGCCTGCCCTGAGCACGGTTCCGTTGTCCCACCGGTTCCAGGCTGCCCCCAGGCACTGTCTGTGGCCGCTGTTTGCACTGCTGCAGTCCTGCTGGGGACAGCTGTGTCACCTGCAAGAGGAGCGGGTTGAGCCGAGCGCTGCAGTCACGAGTGCAGTTGGTGGAGCTGCATCGTGCTGTGTTGGTAACTCCACGTCGGGCTGGACCTGAGCACTATTTATAATCTCAGTGCTGCCTTTGCTATTTTTAACCCTCCTGCTGTAGGGATCCGGCTTTAAATATAGCACAGAGCGAGGCCCTGAGATGTGTTAACTTGGTTCTGCAGGTCAAGGTGCGCTGGGCACTGAGTTAATGGCTCACACACGTGAGGGAAACCACACAGATGTAGGCAGTGTCTTGAAGCCTTGCTGATGGCCCCATCCCTAAAACTAGGGGGAATGGTGTGGGGTGAGGGCTGGGATCCTCCAGCAGGGAATGCCCTCGCCAAGCCCCCGCGGCGCGTCTGCCCCCAGTCCTTCCAATTAAATCATCTTGAGGTAATGCTGCCCGTCATTGAGGGGGATTAGCGAGTGACCTTCTTCTCCTGGAGCAGGATTGGAGGACGTGCCAAGCTTGCCTTCCTTCTCCTAAGCTCCGCGGTGCAGCCAGGAGGGGATTTCCCCCCAGAACCGATGGGAAGATGCCCAGAGGCAGACAGGTCAGTGCCCAGGAGCAGCTGTAGGGACAGGCTGAGGCCGAGGGGCTGTGTCTGGAGATGCGGTAGGTGCTGCGGGGCTGCGAGAGGGGGGGCTCATGGCCAGGGGAAGATGGGCAGGGATGGGGCAGGGGCACAATGCTGGGGGTATCCGTGAGGCTGCTGGGCATCACCAAGTGTTTGGGAGCCGCGCTGTGGGATGGGGCAGCAGCCTTGGGACCATGAGACACATCTCATGGTGTGCATGGGCTGGGACAGCAGCAGTGCAAGGCAGGAGGGCTCAGTGACAGACACAGAGCGGTGCTGCAGTGCTGCTCTCATCCTCATTCTGAATGTGAGAACTCCATGCATGGGCATCACAGAATCACAGAATGGCCAGGGCTGGAAGGGATCTCAAGGATCAAGAATGTCCAACCTCCCTGCCACATGCAAGGCCACCAACCTTCCCATTTAATACTAGACCAGGCATCTCTACCAGCACAGCATCTGCAGGCATCCAGAATTCACACCCATGATTCTCACAGTGTCTGTCACAGGAATTACACACAGTTTGGGAAAACTCTAAATATAAGGAATTGGCAGAAGCTGTTGCTGTAGCATATCAAGGGAAATCATAGAATCATTTAAGTAGGAAACGTTATCTAGTCTAAATCCAAATTATCTCAAAATTCAGGGATTCAGAATTTTCAGAACTTCCTGACTTTACAAAGAGTCTCACCACTGATCTGCTGCTGCTCTGCCTACAGGAGCTGCGCTCTGCAAACCTGTGGGCTCTCCTGCAGCTCCTGCACTTGCTGCTGCTTCCCCAGCCCCACACCCGGGGTGTACAGATGTCAGCTCTGTGCTGCCAGAGGAAAGGAATAATTAAAGCAGATAATTATTTCTGAGATAACACGCTTCCCCCAGGGCTCATTAGCCCAATCCTCACAGCCTGGTCCAGGCAATGCAGAGACACAGCACAGGGCTGGTGCTCGGTGCTGTGCTGAACAGTGATTGCTTTCCACATCCCCTCTCCTTTATTCATTTTTGCTGCAGGCTGCAGCTGGGATGGGGTTTTTTTTTGCAGGATGCTCCCATGCAGAAGCTCAGGGCTGCCCAGAGCGTGCGTGTACCCTGCAGCAGGATCGCTCCGTGGCAGAATTTGTCTGTTTGCAATTTCTCTATCCAGCTGCCCCAGGAGCCGAGCCTGTGGGCCCCGGCGCTGCTCGACAGACGGACGGAGCTCCCGCGCCAGGACCGAGCGGCCGGGGCAGAGGATGCTGGATGAGGCAGCGGCGCCCCTCGCCTCGTCCCTGGGGGGACCAGCGCCTGGAGCCGTGCTGGGGCCGGTCCCGCTGTGAGGCTGCAGCCCGCTGACGGGGAGGGGCTCCGCCAGCCAGGTACCCCCACATTGTGCCCCACAGGGCTGGATCCTGCGCCTGGCAGGGTTTCCCCATTCCGAGTTATGTTTCTGGGTGGTGTTAAAGCTGTTTTCCAAGGAACAAGCTGCAGGTAATGACCGCTTGAGGATGCGCCCGCTTCACGCAGCTCGAGGGCTGCACAAGTGGGCTGAACGGGAGGAAGCCATCCCCAGGTGGTGCAATGCAATTAGGGCAAGTAATTGGCTTAGCCATCTGGTGCTTCCTGCCCAGCTCAGCTCCATCACCTGACTGGGACACAGCAGGAGAGGGTGGCCCTCAGCACCCACCCCAGAATGTTTGGGTGCTTTGGGTACCAGCTGCAATGGATGCACAGTGTGAGGGACCGTGCTGCCAGCCCTGGGATGGCTGCAGGATTGGCATTCCCCCTGCCCTGTATCACAGCCCCATGCCCACAGCAGCACTGTGCAGAAGCTGCTGCAGAAATGCAACTAACGGGATTATGGTTTAGGTGGGACTCAGATTAACAACCCACTTCCTCCAAGAAATCCCCAGGGCCCTCGCAGTTGGGGTTCTCCCCCAGGTCTGCCTGCTGCACATTGCCTCTCCTTGCAGTGCTCCTGAACTCAGCACATCCTGTCCCTGTGCATGCACGGGGGTGGCACTGTGCTACACTCCTAGCAGCAGCTGCAGCTGCATTGAGGGCTGCAGAGATGCTCCCCAGCCCGTGACATCCCAGAGCAGGTGCACCATGTGTGGATTGCAGCTGGGATGGGCTCCAGCCTGTCTCTGGTTCTGCTCAGGGCTGCTGTTTGCATTTTGAAGTAGCACTTTGGGTCACATCCAACTTCCCTTTCGATGAAAACCTGTATTAAAATAAACGTCAACTCTTCAAATGAGTGGGAGATGATAGCCAAACAATGTGCTGAGGCTGTTTTGACATCAGCAGTAGAGGTGAGGGCTCTGGGTCTGTTTCTCACCAATGGAATACTTTCCAAACCCCTCAGGCACACAGGGGGCTTCTGTTAGTGATGGTTTTGCCTCACCCTGAGGAGCCCCAGGGCTGTGGGATTTTCACAGTGCTCTCACTGTGACCACATCCGAGTGCAGTGACGGGGCATGGAGCAAGCAGGGACAGTGGGGTTGAGACACCCCAGTGGGGAACACTGCTTCCCTCCATGCTCGCTCACAGCCCCATGACACCACTGGTGCCCAACCTTTCACATGAGCATCCCCAAGGAGCTGTGAGCAGGACCAGGCAGTACTCCCCCCAGTATCCCTACCATGCACTGCCCACACACCCCCCAGCTCCACCTGAAAACCCCGCTCTGTTCCCACAGCACCAACCTGCACTATGGCCGCAGTGCTTCCAGCCGGCAGCAGCACGGAGCCTCAGCACAGCCTCTGCACCCACAACAGCTTGGGCAGCACCTGGCTTCCACGCGAGGAGCCCTGGGGCCGCAGGAACTCCATCCCACCCGCGCAGGCACCCACTGCCAGGCACATGCTTGCCTACCTGCCACGGCCACCCACCGACACCAGCCGCTATGGCACCTTCCCCCAGAAGGTAGGGCCACGTGGCCTCGCTGTGCTGCACGATGGCACGGAGCACGAGGAGGCTGGTTTCATGCTGACTGGAGCCTTTCCCCTTACAGCCTGAAGTCCCAGCTGCCCCTGTGCTTCTCACAGATGCTGCTGCTGCTGCTGAGAGAAGTGCCCTGGTTCCAAACGACCTCTTCCCACCCTGTGGCACCGATGTTCCTAGCGACCCAGCTCCCACGCAGAGCTGTGTAGACTCGGAGGCTGTGGGATCCACCAGGCGCTGGCCCAGTGTCTCCATTACCACCAGTGACGTGCCCAAGCACCGCCGAGCCTCACGCCAAGACCATCCATCCATGCTGCGTGATGGCACCTCTCGCTGGTACCCGCGGCACACCCGCAGCGTGCCCAGCATCCTCAGCCCGGCACGGAGCAGGACGCCCAACCGCAGCATCGTCTCCATCCCTGCCTCTGAGAGGCTGCAGAGCCGGCGTTGCAAACTGATAGAGGACGAGCGGCCGCTGGGTCTGGCTGGCAAGCAGCAGCGCCAGCGCTACGTCACCAAAGTGGGCAAGTGCCAAGTGAACCTGGGCAACATCCAGGAGAAGAAGAGGTTCCTCTCGGATATTTTCACCACTATTGTGGACCTCAAGTACCGCTGGTTCCTCTTTGTTTTCATGATGTGCTATATTGTCACCTGGGTTGTCTTTGGCACCATCTATTTCTTTGATGCGTGGATAAGGGATGACATCAACCACATCGGGGACCCAGAGTGGAAGGCGTGCATCGAGAACGTGGACAATTTCATATCTGCCTTACTCTTCTCTGTGGAAAGTCAGAGGACCATTGGCTACGGCTCCAGGATTGTGACAGCCAACTGCGCTGAGGGCGTCATTCTGCTGATGGCGCAGTCCATCATTGGGTCCATGATTGATGCCCTTATGGTGGGCTGCATGTTTGTCAAGATCTCCAGGCCCAAGAAGCGTGCCCAGACCTTAATCTTCAGCAAAAATTGTGTCATCTCCCACAGGGACGAGAAGCTCTGTCTGATGTTCCGCATCGGGGACCTTCGGGAGAGCCACATGGTGGATGCAAAAATAAGAGCCAAGCTGATCAAATCCCGACAGACCAAAGAAGGGGAGTTCATCCCCTTGGAGCAGTCGGAGCTGAACTTAGGCTACGATACAGGGGAGGACAGGTTGTTCCTGGTGGAGCCCCAGATCATCTGCCACGTCATCAACCAGCACAGCCCCTTCTGGGACCTGTCGGCAGAGTCACTGAAAAGGGAGCAGTTTGAGATCATCATCATCCTCGAGGGCATTGTGGAAGCTACGGGTGAGTGAGGAGGGGTCGGTGTGGCTCTGTCACAGCCTTCTGGGGGGGCCAGGCCCGGTGCTGCTGAAGCCATGCTGTGGGCAGGGGTCAGGCAGAGCCGGACACGAGGGACAGGGAGTGGGGTCTGCGGGTGGCCACCTGTGTTAACGTGCTGTAAAGCCCATCACTGCCTCTTGCCATGTCCCTGCCGCAGGGATGACGTGCCAGGCCCGCACCTCCTACACCGAGGACGAGATCCTGTGGGGGTACCGCTTTGAACCCTGCATGTCCCTGGAGAAAGGCGCCTTCCGCGTGGACTACAGCCGCTTCGAGCTGACCTTCGAGGTGCAGACCCCAGCAGCGAGCGCCAGGGAGATGCAGGAGATGGCAGAGCTGGAGCGCCGGGACCGCTCCACACCCAGCCTGTGCTGGGAGCTGCTGCCACAGCCCTGCGGGTCCTGAGCGGGCGGCCATCGAGGCTCAGTGCGACCGCAGAGCTTTGGTTTTGTATCACGGGGCAAAGAACCCCTCAGCAGAACATTAAAACCTGTTCTTTGAAAATGGTGATGTCAGTGTCTGGTGGTGGATTGAACCACACAGGGCTGTGCCCAGGGCTGCTCCCAAGAGTGTTTCCCTTCCTGAGCCCTCAGCCAATGGTACTGGGACAATGGCATTGGGACAAAGCCATTGGGACAATGGTAATGGGACAAAGGCATTGGGACAAAGGCACTGGGACAATGGCATTGGGACAATGGCATTGGGACAAAGGCATTGGGACAATGGTACTGGGACAAAGGCATTGGGACAAAGGCACTGGGACAATGGCATTGGGACAAAGGCATTAGGACAATGGCATTGGGACAATGGTAATGGGACAATGGCACTGGGAAAATGGCACTGGGATGAAGGCATTGGGACAATGGCATTGGGACAAAGGCATTGGGACAATGGTACTGGGACAATGGCACTGGGACAATGGCACCGGGAGGAGGCCTCACGGGATGGGGCTGGAGGAAAGTTGCAATACACACACACAAAATTATAAAGGTCGTAAAAGGTCTCTGAGATGCCCGAGTCCAACCCCAGCCCATCCCCACCGTGCCACCAAACCACAGCCCCAAGCACTGCATCCCCACGGTTGTGGAACACCCCCAGGGACAGTGATGCCGATGCAAGACATCCATAAATCAATGTTAGGTCCGACGGCTTGTACATAAACGTGCGAATTCCAACATTATCTAATTAATTAGCTAATTAATGCATACGGGTTGCACCCGTGCGTTTTTGTTTACATGTTGGAGCCCTCCTGGACGCCAGGGGGCGCTAAAGCACCGCGCCACTCTCTAGTCCCTCCCGCCCAGCTTCCGGCTCTCGATGATGACGTCATTAGAGTGCGACGCGGTGACGCCCGCTGTCTGGCAGAGCAGGAGGTGAGCGCGGCGGCCCCGGGCCTGCCCGGTGCGGTTCCGTTCGGTTCGTCGCCGTCACCGCAGTCGGCCCGGCCCGGCCCGCATGGCGCGGCGCTGAGTGGAGATGACCGATCAGGAGAACAACAACAGCATCTCCGGCAACCCCTTCGCCGCGCTCTTCAGCTCCCTCGCCGACGCCAAGCAGTTCGCCGCCGGTCAGAAGCAGCAGCTGCGGCAGCTGGCAGGTCAGGGCCGGGCCGCGGGGCGAGAGGCCTGGCGAGAGGCCTGCTGCTGCTGGGCCGAGGCGGGGAAGCGGGCGGCGGGCTGCTCGCTGGTGCCGCGTGTTCCTGCGAAGCCTTACCCAGGCTGTGAGTGCTGAGGAAGAAGCTCAGGAGCTTTATTTTGCAGGAGAGGAAACTTCGGCCAGCCAGGATGACTCTGACAACAGCGTGTCCGAGAGCCTCGATGACTGTGATTACTCTGTGGCCGAGATCAGCCGCTCTTTCCGCTCCCAGAGGGAGCTGTGCGAGCAGCTCAACATCAATCACATGATCCAAAGGATTTTTCTCATCACTCTGGATAACAGTGAGTGCTCGTGCTGCCCCGCGGTTGTTGATGTGTTTTACCTTGTGAAGGCTTGTGTTGGACCTCAAGGGGATGGGATGCTGGTGTTCTCTGGGTGAACAGTAGGAGGCATGGCCCCTCCTCAGACAGCAAGCTCTGCTCTGGTTCTTGTGCTGGTGTAGAAACAGGCTGGGAGGAACACAAGGTGGAAGAGCTCTGCGTCCTCAAACCATGCAGCTGGTTCATATCTGACGTTCCCAGAACCTTGAACAGAGCTTATGTGTTTGCTTTTCACCTGTAAGGGTTAGAGAAAACAATGTTACGCAGCTGCTGTGAAAGACTGTTTCTGCCTCTATTCTTGAAAACAATCCTGAGACACCTCTGAGTGTCATCCCCTCCATGCAGCAAATGGAAGCATCACTTAGCGCGTCTCAGAACTGGCATCAATGTGGCACCTCTGGTGCCAGTGTGCTGAGGAGCTTGTGCTGCTCCTGCTAAGTGGGGCCACATGGGACAAGTGTGTGAACTGAGAAACTCCCCCAAGAGCTTGGGGTCTTGTGAGGAACCATGTAGTACCCCAACACTGTTTTATACAAGTGATATCAGTGTAAGAGTGCAGCTTCTAATGATGTGGGTTCTGTGCCTGCAGAAAAATGTCTTGCTGGATTCCCTAATGGAATGTGTTTTAAACAGGATCTATGTGAAATTGGACAGGGATGCTGGGAGGTGGGCAGTGCTTCCCTGCAGCAGCCAGTAGCAGACAACTGCCTTTGCCACGGGCAGGATCCTGCTTGCAGATTTCACTTCCTACAGCTATGTTCTATCAGTCGGGCCAACAGATTATTTATGTTCTCACCAGGTGATCCCAGCATGAAGAGTGGAAATGGGATTCCAGCTCGTTGTGTGTATTTGGAAGAAATGGCTGCAGATCTGGATGACCAAGACTGGCTTGACATGGAAAACATCGAGCAGGTGTGTCTCATATCTCATGTAGAGCAGCGACTGTCCAGATACAGACTGCATCAGTGCTATAACAGAGATGCTGTTTGTAACTGGCCAAACTCTTAAAATCCTAGCTCATATGGGGAATTTATTATCTTCTATTTGAGATAGGTTATCCTATAGCAGTGTTGACAGGTGAGGAGAACTTTGCAAGTGCGTGGTCTGTTTTTAAAAGATAATGGATTTTTTTTGTTTGTTTCATGAAGTAATTTTTCTCTTTCCTGAAGGTGTTTCACTTTCAAACTGTTTTTACTTGTATCTAGGCGCTGTTTACCCGCCTGCTGCTGCAGGAGCCTGGGAACAACCTGATTTACATGACCTCTGCTGGCACACAGAATCTCTCTGCAGATCGAGATGCAGGGGAGAAACAAATTCTACGCTACCTCTATGCCTGTTTCCAGAGGGCAAGAGAAGAGGTGGGTAGAAGTTTCTGAGAAATAAGTTAACTTTGATATCTGAAAGTTGATGGCCAGAGGCAGATGTGAAAGTTGATGGCCAGAGGCAGATGTGCAGCCTCAGATCTATTTTATTCTTTCTGTGCAGATAACCAAGGTTCCAGAGAACTTGCTGCCCTTTGCTGTGCGCTGCCGAAATCTGACTGTGTCAAATGCTCACACTGTTCTTCTCACCCCAGAGATTTATGTCAATCAAAATGTGTATGAGCAGCTGGTGGACCTGATGCTGGAAGCATTGAGAGGAGCACGTAAGTTTGAGTGAAACTTAATTTATGTCTTTGTGAGGTTACTGTTAGAGTTGATGTGAGGCTTTCTGTTTTGTTTTAGCTGTGTTTCTCTGCAAGTGTATTCAGCCCTGTGGAGGTTTAAATTTTGCAGTCAGAATGACAATGGGATCTCCTGTCTCCACTGAGGAGGTGGCTCTAAAAGGCACTCTGAATTCTTGTATCTAACTGTAGCAAGTAAAATTTTAGCATTGGTAAAGCCAGCAGGACCAACACTGTGGCTCAGATAAAGCTTTGACTCCGTTTGTCATTAAAAGGAATTTGAAGAGGAGGGTTGTGTTTAGGTTGTAGTGTGTGCATATTCTAACATCTGGCTGCAGATTGAGTATTGAGTATTGTCAGTAATTCTTGTGTCCCTTGCTAGATTTTGAAGACATGACTGAGTTTCTTGAGGAGGTCATTGAAGCCTTAACAATGGATGAGGAGGTGCGGACGTTTGGGGAAGTCATGGTTCCGGTGTTTGATATTTTATTGAGCAGGATCAAGGACTTGGACCTTTGCCAGATCCTGCTATACACTTACCTGGATATGATTCTCTATTTCACAAAGCAGAAAGATATAGCAAAGGTATGTGCTCTTCAGTTATTGAAAACTGTTAACATTTTAAATTATTACGGGGAAACCCAACTGGTTGGAATAGTATCATCTTAGTGTTGTCCAGTGAATGCTTCTGTAATATCACTCAAAATGGCAAGAGGTAGAAGTGGAAAAAGAGTTTACACATGACAGTGGGAAAGCAGACAGTAGTCCTAGAAACAGGTACCTCTAATGTACCTGTAATTTTCTATTCAGTGTCTGATTTTTGTTTTTTTCTAATTATGTTTTTTCTGTGACACATCTTGTACTCTTCTCATTTATAGAAATTCATCTTTACAGTGTAGTTCTGATGACTGTATTTCAGGTAGGCTGCTGCATGTTCAACTGTTTTCCCTAGGTCTTTGCAGGGTATATTCAGCCCAAGGATCCTAGCAATGGACAGATGTACCAGAAGACTTTGTTAGGTGCCATCTTAAATATCTCCTGCTTGCTAAAGACTCCTGGTGTGGTAGAGAATCATGGATATTTCTTGAATCCATCCCGCTCCAGTCCACAAGAGATCAAGGTGCAGGAATCCAATATTCATCAGGTGAGACTGAATTGTAACAACGCTGCTTCCCAGTGTTTTATTGGTCTCTGCTTCTGGGTTCAAGTGAGAAGACTGGATGTTGGGTTGTGTTCCTTTGCTGGCTCTTCGATAGCCTGGCTTGTGGCTAAGAAAGTCGTAGAACCACTTTAGCCTGTAGATTCTCCATCTGTAAGACAAGAATGGGTATAACTGCTTACTTGGTTGTGTCCAAAGTCTTTATATGGACCTCATGTTTCTGCTGCTTAAGAAGTCATCGCTTATGAAGTAGCTTTCTGAGCTTTGGGAAAATGATAGGGTACTTGTAGGACACCATAGCTTAAGACGGAGATAATCTACCTTTGTTGTAATTACTGTGAAATAGTTTTTTAAGTACTTTTCCTCTAATTAAAACATTGGCTCACAAGCAGATAGAATGACGAGCAGCACTTTTTTTTCTGTGAAATTAAATAGCTTCCCTCCTGAGATCAGCAGTGCTAGTAGGATCTTAGATTGCTTCAGAAGAGAGAAGCATCACAGAATAGGACACAAACACAGCCCTCATTTTGCAGGGAAGCATGCTCAGGTGCAGGTGTTTTTCACAAAGAATGAGATTTCTTTCAAGGTTGTTGTTTCTGCCAAAAATGTGTGAAGAATT